GAGGAGTGCACATGGAGGAATGTTTTGCAACTGCCGCCTGCACTGCACCGCTGCCGCTACCTTGTCTCCCTGCCTCCGTTCAATGTCCCCACCTGGTTGGGAGCGACTGGCTGGAAAAGGAGACACAGTTGTACGGAGGTGACGGGGGGGGAAGGGGCTGGGGGGTTAGATAGAAGCAACGTTGGGTGCACGAGTCATTGGGTTGCTTGTTGTGGCCATGGTCACACACTCACTGCTGCCACATGCACGTACTGTGACGACTTGGAGGCACTGTAGTATGGGACTTATGTGTGATGGTGAAGGCAGCAGGCAGGGTGAAGGGTGCGGTGAGGCGAGGACGGTCTTGTGGCGACAAAAGTGGCAGCCAAGGTTGGATGATGGGTTGGATGGCTTGGTGTGCCCATGGTCGCACAGACTGCCGCCACTGGTACGCCGTGTGAAGGCGCGTGGGGACTGTGGAAGCCGAGCCAGGTGCACCGTAATGGGAAAGGGTGGGGCGAGGGCGGGCCCGTGGGGACAAGCATGGTGTGGACGCCCAGCCCAGCAGGCAGCTCTCGGCAAGCAGGGGAAGGCAAGGCAGTAAGCCCATCAGGCCTGGCTGGTGCCTCAGCTTGACCGTGCACACCTCTCTCTTGGTGGCAAAGGAGGAGAGGGAGGGGGGTACCGTTGCGTGTATGGCATGAGGCACAGTGAGAGGTGGAAGGGGCGAGGAGAGGCAGAGTGAGAGGCACACCTCTTGCTTGGTGGGGTGCACGTTGACGTCCACGTGGCGCGACGGCAGAGAGAGAGCGAGGTAGAGAAAGGGGCGCGCCGCCTTGGGCAGGATGGCTGCATACGTGGCCTCACATGCCTTGCACAGTGGCGAACACTCCACTAGGCGGTCTGATGGCGTGGTGGTACAAGGGGTGTGCGGAGGGGCGGGGGGAGCAGTGGTGGGGAGAGGGGAAGGGACAAACAGGCAAGAGGAAGTCGGAAGAATTGACTTAGAGGGGTACACGAGAGGGGCTGGTGGGAGGGCGGGTGCACAAGGTGACTTGTGAGTTGCTTTGGTACAGGAGATAGAATTTAGGGTTCTACACATGCTTGTGTTTGAACGAGAAAAGAAGAAAACAGCTGAACCGTGACTAGTGGAGGAGGAAGGGAAGGGGGAAGGGGGGAGGAGGGAGGGGGGGAGGGGGGAAAGGGAGGGGGAAGAGAGAGGGAGGAGGGTGAGCGAGAGCGGTTGAGAGTATATTCAGACATAGGCGATGGCGAGGGGTGTTGTGTACTGTTGATAAAGAGCACCATGGCATTGACTTTGTTACCGAGACAATCGCCCGACCTCCGACGTGGGTGTCGTCAACCTCGCTGAGCAAGGACGCAGGTCGGTGCAGAGGACCCAGCCGGTGCAAGACGCCCGACCGAGTACGTCACCCGCCGCCGAAACGAGCAGCATCCCGTCACCGTCTTCCTGCAGCTTCACAATGTTCTCCTTCAGCTGCCTTGCTGACAGCACGTTCGCCCGCACGCTCGGGACGTAGAGGACGACGAGGATCAGCACCTGCTTCCTGGCCTCCCCGTGCAAGGCGACTGTGCCCCCAGCCCTTGACGTCCTGCAACGCCCCATTGAAGCCCCGCACGTGCTTGACGTCGCTGCTTGGCCCCAAGTCGACAAAGGCGTTCTTCGTCCCCATCACGTGGTGTGAGCAGCCGCTGTCGAGCAGGACCACCGCTGGGTTCGCTATCCTTAGCAGACTTCATCTTGTAGGCGTCCTTCGCCAGTTTCCCACCTCCGCTACCACTGCCACCAGAATGGCCGCTATCCCGATCGACCACCTTGTTTTGCTGGGGTGACATAGTTCGACTGCGGCAGGAGCTCCGAGGACCGCTCGGCTTCCTACATCGCCTCATCCTAATGGATGTACGAGGTCAGGGAGTCCTTGTTGAGCGTCGCCCGCGTGCTCAGCACTACCGACAGTCGCTTCAGTAGGTTGTAGCTGCTCGGGAGCCCCTTTGGGACATGCGTGATGTACAACGTCGTGGAGTACTGTAGGCCAGCCATCCTGATGGTGGCGAAGTCGCCGAGCCCGGTTGCAGTAGTCCGTCGCCGTCTCCCGCTCGCCCATCCGTAGGTGCGTCATCTGCTCCTCAAGCTGGCTGATGTACAGGTCGTCGGTGACCTGGTACGTCGACTCGATGAAGTGCCACGCCTGGTGGCCGGCGTCTAGGTAGTCCCTGCACGGCTTCAAGGCGATCTGCACGCCCAGCGAGCAGTATCGCAAAATGACTGTGAAGGTCAGCAGCTACACAACGTGAAACTCCGCACGCAGGTCGGGGTAGTTCTCTGACGGCGTCGCCATGGTGCCGGCTGCGAAGCCGATCAGCCCGGCTATCTCCAACTGTGGCTCGATGGCTTCCTTCCATGTGAGGATGTCGGGTCGACCGACCAGCACGGGGATGACTGAGATCCTGTCCGGCGTAAACTTGAAGTAGTCGTAGCTCGGGGCTATCCCTCCCGTTG